TATACTTGCACAGTATTAAACACACACAAATGTAGTATCAAAAGTAATAACATGATGACACTACCATGTTACATAACCAAATGAAATTACCATAGTTTGTATATACACATCGCAACACTGAATTATCACATTCAAATAACATGGTATGTATTCGTCACTACAAATATATGTACCACAGTATTTACATGGCATGCCAGGTTTTTAGACATGTACCATGGTGCTGTGTCTACAAAACACGACAGTACCATGGTGCTTTAAAGAATACCTGCAATTTAAATCTAAACCAAGGCATCAATTTCAAGCCTGTAAACATCAGCAAGTAATTAGCTTAGCATGTAAACAACCCGGCTTAAGCAAATGTATGTCCCTTATTTGGCTCCACGGACGCCTGGTTATCTGTGTCACTACCAAAATAACAACCCTCTTTCTCTGGGCCCCACGTGTGTTTAACAGAAACAAACTAGCAGTCACCCTAGAAATACAGCTTTGTTGACATTAGCCTTGTTTAGAAAGTTAAATACGCGTACAAGAACATCGCTAGTGTAAATGGCTTTGTAGAAGTTGTTAATGCACAGACATGGGTTGTCTTTATCGCTAATGGTTTTACTCGAATTCAAGTCTGGGATTGTAATTAACCGAGGATGGACAAGCATATTGATCTCATTCAACTAGTTTAAAACTATCAGTTTGACTTTGAAGGTGTTTAGGCGCGCGAATGGTGAATGATGCTAGGTGCTAACTACCTCCTTCATCTACCTAGTTTCAAAGAGCTAACCAGGTTAGCGGCTGAGCTCAGAGCGGCTCAGCTAGTTCAGTGTCTCTAATCAGCCTGTTATGAAGAAGAAAGTTAACCAGCACACGGGATGCTAGTGCGCTAATGCTAAAATCACACAGCAGTGAAGTGAGGCTGAGGTGCTGGGCGATTGAAATACACTGATCGAGTTTGATTTCCGCCGCTAGCGTGAACGCGATAAGATCGGAGCTGTTTGAAATCAGTGATATTTCACTCACCTGATTTTTCGTCAAGCGCTGGTTACTTCTGTGGCACAACAGCGAGCGCCATCTTGTCTACGCTACACTTGTCGCGTGGAGTGTCCCTCCGTGACGTCACGCCCGAGAGAGGGGACACGCGAGTCACTTTAACACAATATCTTAAAATAAAAAGAGCTCGGAAACACGTGAATGCTGTGAACCAGTTTAAACAGTGTCAATGGTGTCTAATGTTTAGTCGGAGTCACCGCAACACTTTCACCATCTCAAATCTCACTCGTGTGGAAACGAAAGTGCATTAAAAACAAAAAATTCCACGTAATATGGAAACAAAAAATCATCTATCTACTTTTTTTTTGTAAGAAGAACTTCCTTCTATTCCGCATAATTATGTAAAAGAGTAGCCGATGAATGCATGTAAATACTGCTAGTCGTGAATTATTCATTCGTTTACATTAAAATGTAATATATAATTATTAAATTAAATACGATTGTAATCTTCGTTCATATTCTTAGACTTGGTGGGCGTTATCATATTATTTTTCCACTTTCCTCGTAAATTATAACTGCGCTGTAACTGCGTGCGTACACACTGGAGGCGTAATGGAAGTAACGTTACAGGGTTCTAGGATCAGATTCATTCAAACAATGCGCAGAATACGAGTTCAGTCTCACAGAACTGCGGCTGATCTCAGATCAGAGCACCGTCGCACCGATTTCCGATGCCGCGATGGCGGTGGATTTGACTCCGTGGTTCAGAAGACTGAACAGTCAAACCTGTTTCAGAGAGAATAAACAACTGTCAGGTACAAACGAATGGTTATATGATGCGCGTATGTTTATATATACAGTGTATTTTGTTAGTTAACTGCATGTTTCCGCTAGTTTGATCACGAGCTACGCCAAATGAAGCAAGATCCTTATCAGGTTATTCAGTTGAGCTAGTTTGTTTTACTATGCTTTTCATTGTTTATTATGTTTTATTTGTGAGTGTGGTCCTTCAACATATCGGATTAAACTACAAGTTTTAATCTACCTAATTTATTTGAATGTAAATAAACCGAGTCCCTTTTGTGCTTATGGTCAAATATATTTTCTGTGGTGACATAACGAGTTGAATATTTATTGGTAATGCTGATATTTTGCAAAATACAGTATAGTCTGAAATAACTACAGTAAGAATACACTTCATAACACTGTCTATCTGCCAGCTCGGTTTTTATGGTCTTCTGTGTTTGGAGACTTGAATTAGCATAAATCTTGCAGAATATTGGATATGTTTTACATTAATAATAATAAAGTAAAAACAAAGTTTAGAGTATATAATATTGATTTATGGATTTGACATAATTGTACACTTAAATGACCATGGAATTGATAAAGATAAAGCATATCTTATAGAATTGTTCAAATTAATGGAACATTTCCCATCCATAAATGAAATGGTCTGACTCCAAAACAAATTTTCTCACTAAAAAAAAATGGCTTTAGGGTTTACTATAATGTTTTACATAAATGCGTGAGAACAGGCATTTAGAGCTTATTATTAGGCAGGTATGATATTGTTGCATAATGTGCATGGCACCCTTTACATTTTGTATATTATATATATATATATATATATATATATATATAATAAGGTATTCTGACCTCACCTGCTAAACTGGAGACCCTGTGCTCATCTCTACGCAACCATAGCGACCTGGTCACAGTGCACAGCACTCCATAGCACCACATTCAGATCCATGGTTTTGATTGATTGGGTTCACCTGTGTGTCATTTCTCTCTTTGAAGGTTGGAGTCTTGACTGATGGCAGCAGTGGATTGTCTTGATCTGTTCCCAGATCAGTTAATCGTTGTTGCCAGTGAGCAGCTCGTCTAGCAGAATGCAGCATCCGGGGAGGAGAAGCATAAGGGACTGCTTTTCGACACCATCGCCAAATAATACAACAGCCCCGTGAGACCTCCCCTACTGTTAGTTGGGTTCACCCGTGTGTCATTTCTCTCTTTGAAGGTTGGAGTCTTGACTGATGGCAGCAGTGGATTGTCTTGATCTGTTCCCAGATCAGTTAATCGTTGTTGCCAGTGAGCAGCTCGTCTAGCAGAATGCAGCATCCGGGGAGGAGAAGCATAAGGGACTGCTTTTCGACACCATCGCCAAATAATACAACAGCCCCGTGAGACCTCCCCTACTGTTAGGCCGCTACATGGACATCCAGACTGGAATCCTAAATCTTTTGGGTAAAGGTAAAACACAATGGGCTTATGGGATACTAAAGGTGCTTGAAATCATTTGTGTTGGTGATTGTTTGTTCTTTAGAATGATTTTATATGTGCGTCCTTCATTAGATTGTGGGAGAGGGGAGGATGCCCTGAGAGCAGCTCAGCTCTGTCTGCAGCTGTTAGAGTCCACAAGCAGAGATGAGTTACGCAGAACCCCCCAAAAAGATCATTCTTTCATTCAGTTTATTTACTTCATTTATTTACAGTTTTTTTGTATCAGCATAGAAAATAATTAAAGATAAATGTAGTTCTCTGACCAATTCCTCTTATTTATTTACACAAAAATTGTAAGTGAACTAATTCAATTCAATTCAAATGTATTTGTATATACGCTTTTCACAATACACATTTAAAATCAGTAATATTGTGAAATTGTGAAATTTCTATCATGAGAACTCTCAGAAGATTTTAGCATGGTAATGGATATGGCAATGTTAATGCATTTGGTCTTGGCGGAATTGCTGCTGATGTTGGTTATTGCTGTATTTGTAGATCATTGCTGCTGCAAGCAAGTACAGGAACTTGCTACTGCCAATACATAAGCCGATATGGTGCTGTGAGTATTTAAGACATACTGATGCTGCACAAATAACATATAAAAGAACCTGTAGCAGATCTATACAGGTGGAGCTGGGGAAGGTGGAGGGTTTCAGAGGAACTCTAAAGCGCGCTGCAATGCTCAAGCGAATGCTAATCAGCCATTTAAATGTAAAGCAGCAAGCTCATTGGCTGCGTATGCAACATGAACCAATCAGCTTGTGACAGTCGTTTAATGCTAAGAATATCATCAGTTACGTTAAGGACCCATCAGCCTGCACCATCTAGAGTTTCATGACAGAACTTGGTATAATTAAGAATGAAATATGTTGTACTGACCTCAAACTTTTGAACTGTAGTGTTAAAAGTTTCTAATAACTGTTAATGTAATTCATGGCTTAGCCAGTTTTTTGTTTAAACATGATTGAATTTAGAAAAATGTGTAATGAATAATGTAAATGCACAGGCTCCTTACATTTGTGTTGAAACAGATTGAGAACCGGGCTTTGATTAGCAAGACGTTTGTGAAGGCTGTGATCCAGAGTAAAGAAATGACTCGTGTCCAATGTGAGCAACTGCTGCTGTTCCTCATGGATAATCACACACAACTCTTTAAGGTATGTCCCTTTTTTACTTCTACATTGTCTGTTAAAGGGGTCATATGATGCGATTTCAAGTTTTCCTTTCTCTTTGGAGTGTTACAAGCTGATTGTGCATAGATAAGATCCCTGAAGTTGCAAAGACTAAAGTCTCAAAACCAAAGAGATATTCTTTATCAAAGTTAAGACTCTGCCACGCCCCCCTAAAACGGCTCATTCTAACACGCCCCCACATATCTACCCCACTATGTGGAAATATTTGCATAATCCCGCCGCAAATGTGCACGCAAAGAAAGAAGGCGCGGTTTCAGTAACCGCAGTTAGTGTTGAAGCAACCATGTCAGGGAGACGCTGTGTGTTTCAGTGCGAAAGCAAAAGCACTTTATTTGGATCACTTACAACAGAACAGCAATGCATTTTATGGACGACCGTTTCATGAACCTAGGAGAGGAGGTAATTCTGACTTTGCTATGACAATCTGGCACTTCTGAATCAGCTACTGTAAGTATGTTTTGTTATTAGTTTAAGTATTTGCTATTGACTGTTCAAATGCGGAGTTTTGCGCATAGTGTGTGTGTGTGCGCGCGCGCGCGCGCGTGTGTGTGTGTGAGAGAGAGAGAGAGACAGCGTCACATCAAAGTGGAGTCAGCTGTCTTAACCGCGGCTTGTGTACTGCATCATCACTGTGTCTGTCACGCAACTCTGTTCCCCTTTCGGGCTCTGTCTTTACATTTATTTTGAAAGATGAAGCTCGCGATTATGGTAAGGGGCGTTACATTTCCGACGAGTGCTTGGGTCAGCTGGCCAATCAGAGCAGACTGCGCTTGTCGGAAGGAGGGACTTTGTAGAAAACGAAGTGTTTGAGAGAGGCGGGGCATAGAGGACCTACAATAATGTACAGTATTTGAAAAATAATGTGTTTTTTGAACATTAAAGCATGTCAACATATTCTGTTACACCAAATACACAGAATAATGATCTTTAAAAAAGCATCATTTGACCCCTTTAAAGTTATATGCAACTCACAGAATATTTAATCATTTTTCTTTCATATATCCAGACACCGTCATCATTAATTGAGGCTGTGAGGAAGACACTACAAATCTTGCAGCAAGGGAGGGATCTAGATAATGTAGCACATAAGTTCACTTATAAGTTCCCTATAAAACTGATTTACGCATTGATTTGATTTAACAGCTCCTTTTTTTGCCTTTGCAGTGTTCATATTCTGCCAGCAGGTGTCGCTTCAGCAGTATGAGGACAACAAAGATAAGGCCACTCTTGATAGTTTAAAATCATAAACTTACAGGACTGTGTTTGTAGATAGATGACTTAATTTGCAATTAGACTCATTATGATTTATACAAGCTTTATAAGCAGAACCGTTATTAGAAGTATTAATATAATCAAGAAAATGCTAATCACTACTGTACACTACATAGATTTCTTCAGGCGAGTGAATATGCTGTTTTCATGAGCTTTGAAAAGGCAGCATCATCTTGAACATCTCAGTGTAGAATTACTTGAATTGTGTGATATGCTCAGGTTTTTAAAAGCTATTAGAAATAGTTTTAGCTGCTCTTGAAATTGAGAAATGGAAAACTTTGCCTTAAAGGTAGAGATTTTAAATGATGCTGTTTTCAGGTTAAAGGATCACTTATTTACTTATAATTTAAAAAAAAAAAATTGGC